TCAAGATCGTCCCCACCACTACATTAGATTTGATAAACCACAAATTCTCGCAAAAGAACACCGATTCCTACCAAGGATGATACGCGAGGCTATTGAAATTAAAAAACATCCAAATTTCAATAGAGAAGATGGTTGGGTGCTACCATCTGCTTGGGATCCTATAATTAACAAAATTAAACCCAAACCCAAGCATACCACTGCAAGACTTCATGATACTATAAGCTCGTTTTGCGTAAATCGGACCAAAAATTATTAATAAAAAAAACTGAAGGTAGCCGGACTAACTATGACATTGGGACGTCAAACATCTCAGTCCCCCCCATGACCATGGGTGCTGTAAAGCACCCGAAACGTCGGGATAATAATAAAAATAAATTAAAGTAATTAAACGCGATAAAATCCGTAAATAATAGTTTTATTCAATATAACTAATTAGGTATATCAATGTCATAAAAAGAAATATACGTTGTCGTCATCGAGATAGCTTTTTCTCTGTATATTATTTACTGATGTGATAATATGGCTGAATGATGATATACGTACACTATTTATGATTTATATATATATATATATATATATATATATATATATATATATATATATATATAGTTAGATAAATAGATATGTAACAAGCTAATTCCGACTGCATTTGCGGTTTGCGCTAGTGTGGCCAGCCACTTGCGCTCATATTGCCAGTCCTTTGACTCGCGCCCAAAAAACCGACAAAATAGGGAGCGATGAGCATGACGAGTATTGTGGCCACACTACGTCTCTGCTTCCATTACTCGCTACTTCCCGACGAGAGCGTGGCCGGGGGATAAAAGTTGGTAGCAATACTAAAGATATTAGTGTACGGCGCGTACGTGCCAATGTGCGAGGCCATCAGTAAATGTGGCGAGTATGGTGCTGACAAATGTTTGTTCAGCTTTACGGTAACATAATTTAATTCACTTCATATATTATATTATTCTTAGCAGTCTTTTTTAAAACTAAATCTTTTTAATATGTCTGAAGAATTCGGCGATGCTAAACATAATTTGAGAGATTTGACTCATACTCACAACGCTGGACAGGTGAGTGAATGCGAAACCTATACCAACTTACTGATGATTGCTCTTTCCTATTTAACTGTAACACAGATCTGTGACCCAGCACGGTTGCTAAAAATAATATAGTATTGAGTTAGATTACGTCTCGTCAATGTAATTTTATAAGTTCTTTGTTTCTATGTATGTTAGAATTCAATAAATATTATTATTACAAAAAATATTCTCATGAATCTCTTCTTTCGTTTGCAAATATGGAAAAAGAGATTTTTCTTTTAATATAATCAAATGAGATTGTGAGGAGTGCACTTTTGGATTTTCCAACATTTTTTCGAATTTAATTTCAGAGGTTACAAATACAGTTCAAAACATTTAATATCTTTGACTACGATCGTGAAATAAAAATAAATGCAATAAAGTATTTTCGGTCAGGAACTTAGTTTCGGTACTTCTTTTTTATAAAATAACAAACATGACACAAGGGTGACAAACGAGCACACAGTCCACCTAATGGTAAGTGGATGCTGTGGCTCATAAATATCTACATCTATCCTCGATTAAATGTAGATGCCACCCCTAAAGACTAAGGTGTATTGTCTCGTTTGCAGTGAAAAGGGTCTCTGATTCTCTACATTCACCATACGAAAAATAGCAGCATTAACCCATTCATTGCATCTTGTGAATAGAAACATATTATCCCCATGCCGTCATTGATTTGAAGAGGCCGGCCATCTGCGTCGAAGATAACTCGCCAAAACAGGCGCCAATCAGCGGCTTCGGCGTGGTGTAGTAGTAATCGACGTGAACTATGATTTTTTGTTTTTTAAGTAGAATATAATTTTCACTGAATGAGTGTGTTCTATGCAGTTATTAGAAAAAATATCATTTTAATTCGTTAACGACCGAAATAATAATGCAGTGTTAAGGCGAACTACTTATTCATTTATTACAGAATATTATTATGTAAATATATATATTACAATTTTTATCCATGTTAAATGCTATGAAATATACCAGAAAACAAATAGGTTCCTGACTTTTTTTAAATTATTACTATTATGGTTTTTTTTAAAAGTCGGGAAACATCAATTATTTTTTAAACTTACAAAGGTCACTTTACAATTTTATTAGTGAACTTCATATACATAGGTATTTATTTTCAGACCAATCTTCGATTCTGGAAAAACTTGACGGTTATCTCTCTTCTGTTTTTTAGCTTTTTCATTGTCAATAAATTACCAAAACAATATGTGAGAAATCACTTATCGACTTCTTTTGTTTAAAATTTGTCTATTATGGCCCATCCAAACAGCGCAGTAGTCCACCTCAAAGCAGTACCCATCCTTTGATCCATCTATTAGGTGTGTGCGATGCTTTCACTACTTCAAAGAGCACGCAATCTCAAAATATTTTTTTTCTGCTTACTCATGGTCAAGACTAACGGATCAAATTTTGATTGGTTACAATCCAAACCAAGAAAATAATCAAATAACAAATTTCAATTCACGCTATTACACTACTGCCAACTATATGCTACAAACGAATTCAATTCCATCCTGTATAAAAACGCCTATTTATATTTTTCAAAGTCATTAGCTGCCAAATAGTGATTATTATTCCATAACATGAAAAGGTTGATTAACTCTGATTATTGAAGGCGCCGATGGGCGACTTCGGCATGCACCTAACCTTATAATCAGCATTTTTTTAAATCGAAGATATCCCACAGGCCAATGAACAAATGAAGGTGTGGGGTCTGGGGCTTTCTCTGAAGACCTTCATATCCACATATGCACACCGCTGGGTACCCATAACACAGTCTTCCAGACTGAATGCATGGGTATCATTCAAGCGGCCATAGTAATAGATGCTAGGAAGGTGAAAGACTTCTCCATCAGAATACTGACCGATAGTATGGCGGTACTACAAGCTCTGAGTTGCAATGTGGCGAACTCGGGACTGATATATGAGCGCCATCAACGATTGAATGAGGTATGTAAGCACAACAATGTGACTCTGAAATAGATCAAGGGACACAGTGGATCTAGAGGCAACGATGCAGCAGATGAACTGGCCAGAAGGGGATCGGCTCTGACAACTATAGGGCCGGCACCTATAATACCAATCCACTTTGGCTACGTGCGTTCACTGGTACGTAGATATTTCAATAATTTACACGCTCAGCTTTGGAAAAATTAGTAGTAGAATTAGTAGATTGTAGACAAGCTAGGGAGGCCCTGCCTGAAATAAACAGTCGTCTAACTAAGGTTCTAATTAGACTGAACAAGCCACAGATCAGGATAGTAACAAGTGCTCAGGATATGGCTCTTTTAACAAACATTTGTTTACCATAGGTGTTACTGATAGCCCCCTGTGCAAGGCATGCATGAGAGAGGAAGAAACGGCGGCTCGTCCAGAAGTCGCTTCATACAGGGCTAAACATCTCGGCACGCCGGGATCGCTCCCCCGAAGTTGCTTGCAACATCAAAGGACTGTTGAACTTCTTCGGGGAAATATCATGGCTCGAATAACCACATTATTCTTGCCCACACGCAAAATACGCGCTTAGACGTGGAATTGCGGAAAACAGCCCGTCGTAAATTAAACTAATACCACAGGCCATTCCGAATATAGCTAGATTATTGTAAAATGTAGCATTAAAAAAATATTAGGTCTTTTTATTGTTGTTTGAGAAAATTAGATTTGAATGTGAGACGCCGATGGGCGTCCTCGGCATGTGAACAAAGATTTTCAGGCCGCCCATGGCATTGAATGGGTTAAGAACATGTTTGGTGAAGGTCCAGATTCTTCGGGATCATCCAGAGTATCCAAATCCTGCTTCAATTTTTTCCAACCCTAGTAGATAATCTGGTCACGTACATATAATATCAATTACTTAAATTCATTAAATGGTTTAAAATAAGAAAAAAAAAACAGATTCAAGTGATCGTACCAATAAATTTTACGGAGAAAACTTAGGAAGCACGTAATAACGATCCCTAGCCAAAGAGTATTATATTATAATCCCAAATAGATATCAGATACTAATAGATAAATATAGCTGGTAGATATTAAGTTACCAGCTACACTGCGTTGAATCCATTAAATGTTATTTTTTTAGTCATACAAGTGTTTTTTATACTATAATACTCCTACAGGTGAGTACATTAGATTAGTGTACATCTGAAATGCAAACGAACGTAAAAAATACTTAATTAAAATTGGTATTATAATAACCTTGTCCAAATTAAAAATACAAAATTGACACTTTTAGGCTTTCCAATAGATGGCTGAAGTATTGTTTCATCATACGTAAAATAATAAACCAGCGACAGGAAACAGCATCAAACGACTGGTACTGAGATTGCCAATCGCCCTATCAAGCATGTCGATAAAGGCAAAATTTTTTCGACAGTCTTTATACCCCTTATGCTTTTATTGGAGCGGAGCTCCCATGGCGCAAGAAAACGATTCTTTGAAATCTATCTCCTCCGTGACCCGTAGGCCAATTTACGTAATTTTTCGGCAATATTTGTAGCTCAACGCAGACAAGGTTTGTAAACAATGAAAATCTGAATGTCCAAAAGATTTAAAAAAATAACCAAAAACTAAATTGTCTATGGGAAAATACATGTAAAGCAAAAGCGCGCGCTTTAGACTTTTACTCCGCTCCGTTTATGATGATAGCAAAAGGTTTTACCTTTGCATCCGCATCGGGCCTAGTTCTATTAGTGCAATACAGTCTCTCCTAGATCACAATTCTTAATGAAGTATTCAGCACGAACATTTGTTACATAACCAATTCGGAATAATACCCACATAATAATTAATATTATTTATTCATAACATAAATATTGCAAGAAAATAAAGTTCTAGGTTAAATTCCATCACATTTTCAAAATACATTCATAAATATAATTTTTTTATTTATACAATACCTATTATCTATAAATATTAATCACTTTTGCTACAATCCGATTGTCTTTTAGTCATTTTTAACATGTAATTTGGAATGGTTAAGTCATCCTTGTCGGAGGTGGAATGATTGCGTATGGAATTTGAAGTAACTTTCACCGAAGATAAGTCGTCGGCATTGCTAAATAATCCGTTTGAAGTGTTCGAAGTGGAACTGGAATGATAAGTCATAGATTTAAACATTTGGACAGGCGTTGAAGTTCGCGCTCTATTATTAGTGCAATTAGCTACACTGTTAGCAGATTGGTCTTCTTCGTTTACCAACTGTTTAATTTCTTCAGGCATTTTAGTCTCGTAGAGAGACACGAATTCTTGATCTGTTATATTTCTCGTAGATTTATTTGTAAATGTTATTCTTTTAGCAAGTTCTTTAGTCAAAAATTCTTTAACAGTGATGGAGTTTGACAGAGATGTTTGCTGTTCAACGTTTTGCTTTGGAGACTTAGTCACGTTTTTTAATAACGACACGGAATCAGAATTAATCGAAGGGTTAATTTGATTTTTGTTTTTAAGCTGTGTCCTACTTGAGCTAGAAGTATTGGAAGACGATGATAAGGCAAGCTGTTGTTTGGTTTTTTTTAGTGTCGACGACGCCCAACCCATGCCAAGTTTTTGAAACGCATTTTCTAAATCAGGATTTGAGGAAATACTTAATGTATCAGATGTTTCAGCTGTATTTCTCTTGTTTTGAAATAATGTGCTAGACTTTTTTCTTTCTTTTTTCAGATTTGATAAAGCTAAAGATACTGTAGATTCAGAAGATATTGTACTTGAATTTATGTTCGACGCTGTATCAAATTTGAAAGGCTCGCTGATAATTTTCCTTTTCAATAACTCTGCAATTACATCTGGTAAACTACCTTCAGAGTGTAAAGAGCTGAGATCGTCATTTGCTAAGGTGTCTTTCAAACGATCGTCGATATTGGAAGCTTCTTCAGGTGTTTCTATATTATGGTTTTTTGCATACTCTTTAATACTTATAAAGGGTTTCAGCATTATTTCATTGAATTGTTTTAAATCCATCATCTGTAATTTAGAGTCATCGGAAGAATCGGTTGTCAAAGATTTAGATTTTCTAGGTGCGTTTATATTGCTTTGTACTAAATCTGGATGTGCACTTTCTCTCGCGGGTGTAAGAGTAATTATTTTTTGAACACTGTTATTGTCTCCCTTGGCGTTGACATCTTCGACGCTTTTGCTCGAACTATTAGAAATATCAGCATTACTATTGTGACGTGACTGACTTTTAACCTTTAAACTCATAGGCGAATCTACTTCAAGCACAGTCGATAATTCATGGGGAATAATATGTTCTTGTTCATTTTTCAAATTAATTCTAGACAAAGCAGGTGGCGGTTTTGCTCTTATCTTAGTAAAAGTGCATTCAATATTACAGCTATTATTTTCTGTATTAGTCAGAATTTTTGGATTAGAAACAACTGGCGGCATAGGAGCTTTAAAAGTTATGGGCTTGGGAATATCAGTTAGAAATGGGATGAATGTTTCAGCATTTGTGACGTTATTTTCTTTTTCTTCGTCAGAGGTAACCGTTGGAGGTAATAATTTATTACATGTGCTCTGAATTTCGGGGAAATTAGTGAGTGGGGGAGTAGAAATTTTATTTATAGAACTTTGTTTGTTCCGTTCCAAGTCTGAATCGGAAGTTGAGTCTGAAGTTGTGATTTGACTGTAAGCTAATGATTTATTTCTCCTTACTTCTTCTAATACCTTGGCAAGATTAGATAAACGTATAGTACATTTTTCAGTTAAATCTGCAATTTTTTCCATGTTTTGTAGTTTACCTTCAACTACTTTCATTGAATTAGTATCACTATCAAAATTTTTACTTGCTTGTGTCGTTACACGAGCAGGTGGATGATCAAGTTTGTCATGTTCACTAGTAAGAATACTAATATTTTCGGAATCTGTAGAAATCGGAGTTGTAGTAGTGCAAAACTTACATCTTCTTTTAGTATTCAAAGTAGTTTTCGATTTTTGACTTTTTATAGAAGTGTCGCTTTTGTGAGGCGGCGAGGAATTTTTCCTAATACATTTAGGCATTTTAGCAACCAAAGAAATCGGATTATTTATTTCATTTTTAAGCAACGGTGGCACTGATGTCTGCTCGTACGATGGATGAGCATGATTTTGGCAATCATTTTTCTTCATTGGAACAATTTTTTTAGAAATGTTCAACGACTTAACTTTGTGCATTTGCTTTCTTCTTTTGTGTTCTTTGTGATGTATTTTAAAACTCATGTTTTTTTTACTATTAACTTTTTTTGGAAACTCTGATACATTCACTTTATTACCTCTTATTATGTAATCATTGACGATTTTTTCCTTAAGAACATTCTTAATTTGCTCCAGAGATATTTGCGCACGAGCTGATAATTTGGTGTTGATATTTAATGTGTCATTAATAATAGAACTGCTTGGTGTTGGTACAGAGCTGCATTCTTCGTTAATTATTTCAACAGCCTTAATTCCTTCCTTGTTTAGTTCTAAAAGCTTATTGACATATGCTTTTATGTTGGGATTTAAGGTAGTTTTTGTATATTTCTTAGCCATATTAGGGTTGACATCCTTTACATATTTATTTGATGCAGAACTCGATATGTTACTTAATGGAGGATTCTTTTTATAAGCATCACTAACATTAAAGTTGGTATATTGGCGACGGTGCTTATAATTGCTGCATGAATCACATTTTATTATATTAAGCTTTTCAGGAGGTATGCCGTAATTTTTACTAGAAAACTCATTTCGTTCGTCAGCACTACTGGCTGTATTGGGCGGTGTGGCAATTTTTTTAAATTTGTGTTTTTCTTTTTTATAGTTTACGGGATTGGGGGATCTCTTTTTGTTAACGCGGTGTTTGCATTTACAACGTTTATATTCTTCATGTGACGCATTGGTTATAGCCGAGTCACATGTTTCATTACATGAAAGAGCGTAATCTCTTTTGAGAAAACTAGGCAGAATAAGTTCAGGTGGGCTCATGTAAGCTGTAGATGTAGAAGAACTCATGTGCATAAATATGGGTCTGTGAATTGGCGAATTTGTAGTTTGTGTATATGTAGAAGTAGCTTTTTGGGCATGGTTTGAGTTTTTTTCAGATTCATTATTTATTTTTGTAGGTTCGGCCTGATTACTTGTAGCTGTTGATGTTTGAAGGTTGATATTAGAAGCAACTTGATTATCAGTCGATTTCGAAAGTAATGTAGGTGGTACTGGCCCACTAAGAGGATTTCTACCTTCTATTTGTTCTTCAGTATTTTCTTGTTCGGGATCTTTATTTAAATCATTCCTTTCTTTCATAGGTGAAGTTGAATGTTGTAACTGTATATGATCATTTGTGGATAATTGTTTATTTATTGTTGTTTCGGGTATAGTTGCCTGTTTTTTACTATTTGCTTCATCTTTTCCGTTTAACTCTTTTTTCCTCAACTGTATAATTACTTCGTAAGTTTCATCCTTAAGGAACCCTGTAGCTCCGACGTAAAATTTTCCGTTTTCTTGACCACCTTCATCTATAAATTTTATATGACCGTTATCAGATAGCAAGACGTTATTTTTATTATTAGCGGCTATTTTAAATGATGAAGTAGATGTTGCAACTGAAGGCTGTATTAATGGGACTTCAGGGTTTTGCATATTGCCACCACAATCGCATTTTCCAGCAGAGCTGTAACGATAAATTTTGATTAATCAATTATATGTAAGTCCAGTTAGTGACATTTGAAATAAATAAAATGTTATTTTTGTTTCATGGTGTAATAAATTGAACTTTCATAACGAATATTATTAAAATATTGAATAAAAACACTGTGTTACAGATTTTTTTAAATTAAATCACATTTAAAACAACATTCTATAGCGAAATAAAAACAAAACCTTATAAGAGTGACAAACGAGCAAACCGTCCACCTGATGGTATCACAATACATCTACATCAGAATCAAAATACTGATGGCTTGTCACTGCTGAAGATTAATATGGCATGCTTTATTTCTACTAAAAGGGTGTCTGATTCTATCTGTGGATGTAGGATCTATACTGAATATAAAATGATCTACACTAACCATACGAAACACAGCACCATTAAGCTGCTATTTTACCTTCGTGCTACAACTATATAACTGCAGCATGGCTTTACCACATATAAAGATTAACTTTAATAACTTATTTTAAAAAATCACGTATAAGAAAGCTCTGTGAAAATACAAACAAAACATTTACCTTTTTGAAGACTCGCAGCGATTTTGTGAGGGGTCAGTATAATCACCTGAAAATAAAATATTGTAAGGTTAAAACGATAAAATAATAAGAAACGAGTTATATATGTTTTACTCGTACGATCGATCTCATTTGACTCGTATTTGTGAAAATACTTTGTATGGAACCAAAAAAAGTATACACAATAACTATATATTCATTCAGACTGTTTTATTGGTATAGCGTTAGTAGTGTTAATCGTGTGGTTCCCAGGCTCGAATCCCGGGTCAGCCGATGAAAGACTCCGTAGCAGCTCAGTCAAGAAGCTGGCAGTGTTTAGTCTCCGTGGCTCGGAAAACCGAAGCTCCTACGCTTAATAACCCTGTTCTCTCCGCTCTGTTCTGTTGCGTCCAATCGCACTATGAGAGCGAGGGAATAGAGAGGGCACCTCCACGACACTGTAGTAATAGGTGCTAAAAGACGATATATATATATATATATATATATATATATATATATATATGTCGTGGATTGATGGCGCCATAGTGCTACAAGCAGCGCCATCTAACAATTAGCTTTGCGAATCAATAATATCGTTACCGGAAACGCAAGCGCGCCCTACCGCTTGGACACGATCGTCGGTAGAGGGGATGCAGCGAGGGCTAGAGAAGGGACCGAGTGTTGTGGCAGTTGAGTTCGGACAGCCGGAGCGGACGCTCGCTACCGACGCACGCGTTTGTTTCTCGTGTACAACCACTAGTCTAAATAAAGTTATTTTTGATTTAAATCATCTTTCGTTCGTGTGCCCACATTTACATAAAACCATGTCGGAGCGTGAAGAAAACACCTTTGACGCGACATCAGAAGTGGGATACACCCGAGTTGAAGAAAACACGGAGACTGGAGCGATGTCGTCACGGTGCGACGAGAACATGCTTCGGGAGTTGCTGGCTGCTCAAAACCAGAATATGATGTCCTTGATAGAAGCCATCAAGGGCCCGGCAGCAAAATGTCCACGAAGCAATAGTGCGGGCACCAGCGCGGCGGGTGGATCAAGCAGTTCTGGGGTAGCGCCTGCCGCAGCGGCAACCAGTGAGCGACGTGTTGACGTTTGTTATGTCAGCAATCCCAGCGGTGTGCTGATGAATGCTGGTGAGTCATACCCATTTTACTACGATTCTGGTGCCGAATGCTCTCTGATCAAAGATTGTGTTGCGTCAAAGTTTAGTGGCAAGCGAGTAAATAATATTGTAAATTTAACCGGAATCGGTCACGTTAGCGTACAAAGTACCCTACAAATTTTATCTGAAGTTATAATTAACGATTTACGGTTAGAGATATTATTTCATGTTGTACCGGATAGTTGTCTTAAAAATGATATCTTAATCGGCCGCGAGATTTTAGATCAGGGGTTCAACGTTAGTATGACGTCTCATAGCGTTGTTTTGTGTCGTAATAAGGTTGTGAGATTATGTGATGCTTCAAATAAGCCCAAGACGGATACTAATTATCAAATTGATTCAAATAAAGTTGACACAGACGTTCCGCCAGAATTTCGTTCCCAATTAATGGATCTTTTGTCAGAATATTCATCTTCGTTTTCTAATGGTGTACCTAAATCCCGTGTAACGACAGGACAGTTGCAAATCAGGCTTATAGATCCTAGTCGAACGGTTAAACGTCGCCCTTATAGGCTTAGTGCAAACGAACGTGAAGTTGTTACTGCTAAAGTTCGTGAACTAGAGGAAGCAGGTATTATTAGGCCAAGCTGTTCACCCTTTTCTAGTCCAGTGTTGCTTGTCAAGAAGAAAGATGGTTCAGATCGCATGTGTGTCGACTACAGGGAGCTGAACGACAACACTGTATCGGATAGGTTTCCACTGCCGTTGATAGAGGACCTTATATCTAGGTTAGGTGGTGTTACATGGTTCACGTGTCTCGATATGTTGTCAGGCTATCACCAGATTCCAGTGCATCCTGAATCGATAGAGCGCACTGCATTCGTCACACCTGATGGTCAGTGGGAATATTTGACCATGCCGTTCGGTTTGAAAAATGCCAGCTCAGTTTATCAACGTGCAGTGATGAAGGCATTAGGCGATCTTGCTAACAGCTATGCTGTGACATACGTCGACGACATTTTAGTGATAGGATCGTCTGTGGAGGAGAATTTATTTCGTCTTCGCACTGTGCTAGATAAATTAACAAAAGCTGGTTTCTCCCTAAATCTTGCTAAGTGTTCCTTTCTTAAGCGACGGGTAGAATATTTAGGCTTTGTTGTTGAGAACGGCCAAATCAGTCCCAACCCAAATAAAATTGCAGCTTTGTCCAGACTTCCCCCGCCTAAAACCATCACTCAGCTAAGACAGTTCATAGGGCTGGCCACTTATTTCAGACAATTTGTGCCACAGTTCTCAAAAACGATGGCTCCTCTATTTCGTCTAACGAGTGGCAAGGACAGGTCCATTGAGTGGGAACCTAGCCATGAGGCTGTTCGTCAGAAAATTATTTCTTATTTAACCAGTAAGCCTATTCTAACGATATTTGATCCTGCACATCCAATAGAGTTACACACCGATGCTAGTGCTGAAGGATATGGTGCTATTTTTATTCAAAAGATTAATGGGATACAACATGTGGTTGCTTATTATAGTCGTCGTACCTCCCCAGCCGAATCAAAGTTTCATTCATTTGAGTTAGAAACGCTAGCTGTGTTCAATGCCATAAAGCATTTTCGACATTATTTGCTAGGTCGTAAGTTTACCGTTGTGACAGACTGCAGTTCTGTTAAAGCTTCTAAAAGCAAAACTGACTTGTCTCCACGAGTTCATCGTTGGTGGGCCTACATGCAGTCATTTGAGTTTGATATCGTCCATCGTGAAGGCAGTAGGATGAGCCATGTAGACTTCCTGTCTAGAAATCCCCTCCCTAAGCCCAAAGTGGCTTTCACTCGTGTGGAACAAAAGCGTATCGATTTAGCTGAGCTTTCTAGTAACTGGTTGCAAGCTGAACAGGAAAAGGACGAAGAGATTAGTAAGATCGTTTCTGATCTTCGTAACGAAGTTTTTCCTGAGGAAACTCGCAAAACCTACGAAGTTCGTAAAAACATTCTATATCGCCAAATTCAGCGTAACGGTCGCACTCGATGGCTGCCTATTGTACCTAGATCGCTTAGGTGGTCTGTTATTAATAACGTCCATGAGTCTGTCATGCACTTAGGATGGGAGAAAACTCTCGAAAAGATTTACGAACACTACTGGTTCGAAGGCATGTCGAAATATGTGAGGAAATTTGTGGACAACTGCATCACATGTAAAGTAGCGAAGCCCCACTCGGGTAAAGTTCAAGCAGAACTGCACCCGATTCCCAAGTTCAATATCCCATGGCACACAATCCATATTGACGCTTCTGGTAAATTATCTGGGAAGAATGACATCAAGGAGTACGTGTTTGTCATATTAGATGCGTTTACCAAATTTGTGCTACTTCGTCATTCGCTAAACATCGACACTAATAGTAGTATTCGTGCTATTAATTTCTGTATAGCTCTGTTTGGTGCACCGAAACGCATAATAGCAGATCAGGGTCGTTGTTTCGCAAGCAAAGATTTTTCTAGTTTCTGTACTTCTAATAGCATCGAGTTGCACTTGATAGCTGCTGGAGGCAGCCGTGCAAATGGTCAGGTCGAGAGGGTAATGAGTACGCTTAAGAGTATCTTAACAGCGGTAGAGACTAGTCGTGACCGTTCTTGGCAGGACGCATTAGGAGAGGTTCAGCTGGCCATGAACTCTACTATTAATAGGGTGACTAAATATAGCCCTCTAGAGTTGATGATAGGAAGGGTAGCACGACCGCTTAGTTCAGTAACCGCCGATGATGATGATGTGACAGAATTTAACTTGGATGAGATCAGAGAGCACGCGACACAGAATATCAAAAAAAATGCCAATTATGATAAAAATCGATTTGACCGAAATAAGGCTCGGGTTTGTAAATTAGCTATCAATGATTACGTTTTAATTGAAAATGAGGAGAGGAATCAAACGAAATTAGATCCCAAGTTTAAAGGTCCTTTTAAGATTATCGATGTGTTAGATGGGGATAGATACCTACTAAAGGCGCTTGACTCTAAGCGAACCTACAAATACCCCCATGATCGTGTGAGGAAGGTCCCCGATCACCAAGTTCCTCGAGAATTAGACGTCATAGTTGATGACAGCGATAGTGAAACCAAATCTAATTAAGAATGGCATGTATACTCATACTCGAAACTGTAGACCGCACCTCATGAGTAACATGTGGCGATGGGTCTGTAGGAAATCGTTGGTGCGATTTCTGTCTGTGTTGGTACACAGAGCCCCTCATGTGTTGTAGCATATTTGGCGGCAGATATGTAGGGAATCGTTGGTGCGATTCTGGCATATGTGGCGGCAGATATGTAAAGAATCGTTGGTGCGATTCTGGCCTGTGTTGGTGCACAGAGCCCCTCATGTGTTGTGGCGTATGTGACGGCAGATATGTGGAGAATCGTTGGTGCGATTCTGGCATATGTGACGGCAGATATGTAAAGAATCGTTGGTGCGATTCTGGTCTGTGCTGGTGCACAGATTTCAATGAAAGTTTCACGAGTTGAGTATTCATTGCTTATGAATTATGGTAAAGAGTAACAAAATTGTCAGAATTGCTGTGTTGGAACTTGTTGATCGGGCCTTTCACAATAAATCATGTAGTGCAGGAAGCACTGTGTAAGAAGCCCTAATAATAGGGCTTTGTCAATCATGGCAGTTGATTACTGTACTTAGATTTAGGAGAAATAAAGTACCATCTGGAATCAACCTCGTTTTCGTTGGCAGGATAGCCGAGCTAAGTTATTCTCTGAGCATATTTTGTCCACAGGCACTGCACCCGAGGACGGGTGCTAGTCAGGGATGGCCGTGTCGTGGATTGATGGCGCCATAGTGCTACAAGCAGCGCCATCTAACAATTAGCTTTGCGAATCAATAATATCGTTACCGGAAACGCAAGCGCGCCCTACCGCTTGGACACGATCGTCGGTAGAGGGGATGCAGCGAGGGCTAGAGAAGGGACCGAGTGTTGTGGCAGTTGAGTTCGGACAGCCGGAGCGGACGCTCGCTACCGACGCACGCGTTTGTTTCTCGTGTACAACCACTAGTCTAAATAAAGTTATTTTTGATTTAAATCATCTTTCGTTCGTGTGCCCACATTTACATAAAACCATGTCGGAGCGTGAAGAAAACACCTTTGACGCGACATATTTATTAAACCATAATGCACTAAAATTTGTATAATATAAAAAAATTACCCTTGGTATTTTCCTTTGCACAATGGCAACATCTATGAACCTTATCGGTTTCTTCTTTTGATGTTAGATTTTTGATTGTCTTTGTATTTTCACAGAACTGCAATGATGTCATATTGTCCCTGTAAAGTGAAATGACAAAAATATAAACACACAAAAGGGTATTGTTGTAATTACAGACAGTTGCTGCGCCTGCAAAACCTGATAGTTAAAAAAATCCAATTTTTCGATTAGAATAAAAAGTAGTTTCATTCAATTTAAACAAGTTATATAAATAAAAACTTTTGTATTTGTATGCCATAAGATTTTCGCTACTGTATACAATTGAAACAATACAAAATGGCTTTTTAGGTACATGGCATTTAGAAAAGACTAATATAATGCACTATAGTGCATGCATTACTGGTTTTCAACAAAAAATGTTTCTCAAGTTTTGCGAGCCCAGCGAAAAAATTAGATTTGAAATGCATAGGGTGTTTTAGCATTTTGTTTAGTTCATTTCTCACAGCAGTGCAACGCAAAGATGCATGAATCCATGTAGTAAGTGTCGTTTTTTGAAAATTGAGTTGCTATATAGCTGTACAAGAGAGTCAGGCATGTATTTTGTACTCGGGTATATTAAACAACGCAAGACGGTTGTATCGACAAACCGGTAAGTGAGGCTCCAACGCCAATGTGATACATAAATGGATTTAATCTTTGACATAACCGTGTCGACAATAAGAATAATTGCAATTGAGAACCTCGAGTTAGCCGAAAGCCACATGAATCAATTCATTAGAAAAGCCAAGCTATCCTATATTGAAGAAATCAACAATACGATGAATTTTGAAGCGTAATTTTCGTCTAAAGGCCCTACAACATACAGCGTGCTTAAGAGTCGAAACCTTAACTTGCTAATCTTATGCTGGGTCGATTCGACAATTTAATGCTATGTTCAGTAACGAGGCGAATTTCCATCTTAATGGTCAAATTAACAAACAGGTTTGTCGACTCAGTGATCAAACGACCGGCACACATATATATATATTTTTTTTAAATGATCGTAATCTCTAAATCAACGGATCACTAAGCTGAAGTTAAAGTGGGCCGGCCTTACAGATCAAAGAACCGACAACCGATGGGGAAAAAGGTTTTCGAGCGGCAGCCTTGTACCGGTAAGCGATGTTTGAGACTAGGTAGTAGATGGATTAAAGACCTGGTAAGAGATGCAGGAAGTCGATGAGTGCAGGTGAGTGCTTTGTGGCAATCCTTGTGGTTATGTTCAGCAGTGGACTTGTGAATGCTAATAGGTAATAAGAAAAATCTCTAAATGTTTAAACTTTTCATTTCTTTAAATAATCTGGTTTTTTAGAACATAAGTGGCTATTGCACATTATCAACACCTTCAACCAACTCGAAATAAAGAGGACTACAGAGCCGCTATCATCCCTTATAAGATGGAATGTCTTACAACCGTTTTACTTGCTCTTAATGCCCTTCAGACCGAACACAATGGATGGCACTGGTGATTACTTAAATTTACGCGAATACTACACATTGAATAAAACTAAATTTACGGATTCTATCGCGATAGAATCCGTAAATTTAGTTTTATTGAATGGCACTGGTGTTTGGCGATAAAAATAGGTTAGGGGGTAGTCACTATCACAGTATAGAGTTGCCAATTAAAGTGAAGAGAGGTCGAAGAGTGGAAAAAAAGATGGCGCCCTCGTTCTTCGGAAGGACAGGTCATTACGCAACAATTGTTTTAGAGGATCGATAAACAGTTACTGCAGAGTGGTACACTAACAATTGATTGCCACTTGTCTTGGAAAAAGTTCGAGAGAAACGACCTCGCAGTAGGATCCTCCTTCAGCACGACAACGCCTCGTCGCACATCGCCAAGCAAACACTCGACTACTTAGCGACGTCAGACGCGGAATTACTGGATCACCCGCCCTATAGCCCCGACCTCGCACCTTGCGATTTTTATTTATTTCAGAAAATAAAAGAAAAACTTCGAGGAAAACGTTATGTGGATGCCGAGGAAGCAGTGGCTGCGTTTCAAAATGCCGTCAAAGAGACCCGTAAGGACGAGTGGGCAGTGCTTTTCTCAGTAGTTCCATCGGATGCAGCGACGTATTAATGTAAATGGACGCTGTTTTGAAAATAAATAATAAAACTAATAACTCGCTAGTTTGTTAGTTTTTGATTTTATAAGAACTTTTAGTGTCACCCTCGTACATGCTGAGACTATCACACCAGAATTAAGAAAAACCAAGAAAAATTGTAGAATGTCTGTGTTGAAATTCAACATGTGATCGTAGAATGGACCAAAATTCACATTGGTTTTAAAGGCAATGACGCAACAGACAAGCTGGTCGAAAGTAGATCGGAACAATACGCCTTCAGATACGACTTAGGGAACTTCAAGAGCCTAATCCTTTTTAAAAGGCCGGCAACGCATCTGCAATCCCCTTGGTGTTGCAGTGTTCATGGGCGGCGCTAATCACTTACCATCAGGTGAGCCGTATGCTCGTTTGCCACCTCTCCTATAAAAAAACTAGGTGCCTTTTGAACATGCTTTGCCACCGATACGTAAACACTTAATAATCAACACACTTGATACTGGATTAACCATGAAGATGCTATGACAAGAGATGAGGCTAGAAAAGCCCTGCCTGCAATAAATGGTCATATCTCCAAGACATTAATATGATTAAAGAAACCCCAGATCCGGATAGTAACTAGTGCATGGTCATGGTTTTTAGTTAACCATACAAGCATAGGTGTTACAGACAGTCCCTTAAGTAGGGTTTGCATGAGGGAAGAAAAAATGGGGGCACACATGCTGCTGGTATGTGCAGAGGTAGCCCCTTATAGGGCTAATAATCTCATCTCCGAGGTTGTCACTAATATTAAGGGTTTACTGTACTTTGAGGAGATATCATGGTCCGAATAACTACTTTATTCCCCCCCCCTCCACACGCAAAATATGCGCTTCAGACTTAGAAGGAAAGTGGAAATAGTAAGAAGACTTAAGAATATGAATCTGCGGGGAATAGCCTGTTGAATACTAAAATAACAAAACTTTTCTAAAACAAGCAAAATCTGTAAATATATTTACCACCATGGCCTGCCTTCTATTGGTAAGAAATATTCTTCTATATTTTTAGTGTAAAAACTCATTTGACCAAAGTCCAGCCTGTTGGAGTTAGTAAGGATTAAAAATAGGAATGGAGATGGGAAAAGGTTGAAATTTATTAAATATAAATTAACATACCCATTATCAGTAACCGCTTTGTAGATTCCTGAAATAATTAAAATGGAAATTGATTTACCCTCACTACATAGTATAACCGATATTACCGCGTAGTAGCGGTGTACGAATATCCACTACCCCGTATCATCCCATGGATGTTGTACATAGAATAGTATAATACATACATAATAGAACGAGGGAGTGGGCGGAGCCCGCGTAGCCACTAAAATGTCACTAACACGTCAATTCACACGTATAAACGTCAACACGAGATGTGTTTTGACGTTACAATCGTTTCCAAATTTCGCATGCAAATTATTTAGAAAATGCCAAATTGCACCCTATTTACAAATAAACATGTATTAAAATTTAATGATGATCTTGAACATTAATCAAAAGTCTAAAATGTGTAAATTTACTCAGTCTGTCAACACAGCGAAACGGGTTCGGCGACGTATAAAATAAAGTTGACAGCCATTTTATTGTGTATTATAGTATTCTATGATGTTGTAGGAGGCAATTATGAAAAAGAGGCCAGAAATACCTGGAAGCTCTGACTAATAACAATGTAACATCATATAATATGACAGATGTAAATTACACATACTGGCGACCGTGAGTAACATTACATCATTAATATATAAATGAAAATATTGCTTGGGGTTACTCTGTGTGATAAACTTTAACTGACAACAGATTGGGAAGAAAAGTTGTCGAGTGGCAGCCTGGTATCGGTAGGCGAAGTGTGGGGAGGCCTCCCACTAGATGGAGTGATGACCTGGTAAGACATGCAGGAAGTCGATGGATGCAGGTGGCCCAGGACTGTGCTTTCTTTGGGGGAAGCCTGTATGGCCTATGTTACCAGTGGACTCATGAAGAGCTGTAATAATGATGATGATGTAATGTTGCTGGCCCCAAACTTTTATACCAAACAGAGCTTAAAGATTAAAGAGCAAATAGGTCAGGTCCTATTCTATCACACTTCGTTTACTTTATCGGCTCGTCTCATATACTGGATGATCTTTTTTACCATCTGGAAAAAAATATGGTGTAACATGTGAACAGAGTAGAAGCCTAAGGCTCTGATATTTAAAAAAATAAATACAAAAATTTTACTTTACGATCCCTACTTACTTTTACAATAAAACAATAAATTTAGTAGGCATCTTTGACCTTGTCACTTCGCTAAGTCACATGTCAGGGTGAATATGATTTGAATTTTGATAGATTTTAATTAATTTATTTAATTAACTTAACTCCGTTCACATGTTACACCCTGTCTTTTTCCAGACGGTATAAAAGGTTATCAAGTATATGGTAATGCTTTCATTCCATACCACCTAGTTTTGAAAATTAATGTGAAAACAATATTAAAAAAATCCTAAAATTAATAATAAAAATAAAAGATTTTCATTACCTACAAGAAATTGACATAAACAAATGTGTTAATTTCTTGTTATGTTTGCTATACAATTGGAGATGATCATGACTAGCAGTGGACTTGTGTGCGCTTTTGAAGAAATAAAAAGAACAAATCTGTTTACCTTCAGTCAATTGTTCGAATGGTGTTGTATTGATTATGTTATCGTTTTTATCTGCAATTAGATTCTTCTTGGTTTTTGTAATATCTTCATTATCATTACATTTATTACTAACTTCTTCTCCAGTTGATTCTGTCAATTTAGAACTTTTTTGTACCAAATTAGATTTCTTGTGAAGTTTTCTTTTTTTGTCATATTTAGAGTTAAGAATTTTATAAATAACAACCCTATCAGCATCAGACAACTTCGAGTCAAACTCCTCTGAACTTTCAACTTTCTTCTTTCTTCTGTTTAAATCTAAATTATCCACTGAACTTGAATCAGAAGTTATAGAGGAGCAGTCTGTTGACTCATTTCCACTTTGCTCAATAAGTACAGTCTCCACATATCTATTTTTTGGGGATTTCCCATTGATGGGATTGTCTTTAGTGGGTGGCGTATGTTTATGACTTGATCTGTATTCATGATAATCTTCATATTCACTAAATTGCACAGTACTGCCACGTTTACCTCTCACAGGTATTGTATGCACTCCTAGATTGTTTTCAGTTTCTGGTACTGGCATCCACGAATACTGGAAATCTTTTTTATTCAAATCATCATGTTCTTTGTTTTGAGTTTTTAACTTGCTTTGTACATTTTTAGCATGCTGAAAAGCAAAAAAGTCATGAGTATAGATCATATACTGAAAAATAGAATATTATTTGGTTATTCCTTTAAATTAAAATTATTATTTTTTTTTTATTAAAAATAGGTGGACAAGGTAATTTAATGGTTGTAAGAAATTTGATTAAGATCCATGATGATTCCAAATTTTATTTAGCACGGATTTTGAGTTTATACAAATAACATATCAGATAACCTTGAAATGGTTAAGACTTGTGATGGGATGTAATGACGAAGAAGATGATGATGATGTAATTTTGTGATAAAGTCTAATATCTTATATAATCTTATGTGGTAGAGCAATGCCGCAGTTATATTATAGTTGTTGCATAAAATAGCGGCTTGATGCTGCTGTGTTCCGTATGGTGAGTGTAGAGCACCGGAGACCCTTTTTACTGGAAATGAGGCATTCCATCTTAGTCCTCAGGGGTCAGTCTATAGGCCGCGGCATCCATTAGCCATTGCGTGGACTGTGTGCTCAAGTGTCACTCTTATTTACATTAGATATAATTGGAGCCCTTAAATTTTCATATATTTTTATGCTTAACATATTAAAACTAACAATTTTTTTATAAAAATTTAAATTACACTGAAATATTAATTGAAGTTATTAAATTGCTAAGGGATTCATACTTTTTACTCCTAAATCGACACAGTTAATGTAAATATAATTTAAACAAAAAAAAAAACATTAATTTATTTGTGGTTGTGATATACATACATGAATGTAAAATAACACAAATATTTGTAGTCTTTAAAAAATCATACTTTGGGTAATACAGTAGTTCTGCTAAAAGCCATTCTAAATTATTATTGATATTATTAAGTATAGATTACTGTAATCAATATTAGTTATGTATTTAATTTATCTGTTGACAAGGATTGGTAAAACAGAGGGTCTCTTTTTTATTATTTCATAGATAATGTAGAATGTAATAATTAAAAGATTACTAACTTTACACTTGTGTTTTCTACATTCCTTTTCTATATTTCTAAATTCCTGCTGTAACTTCTGTTGATGGGTGTCCTGTAACTGCTGCTGACGTTTTTCATCCATGTAAGCTTTCCTCTGTAACAACAAGGATTTCTCATAATTATGATTACTCTACATTATGCTTAAGTAACATCACAACACTTACAATGGGTTTACTCGACATGTTGTTAGGTAATGAATTAAGAAATGCTAAAGTATCTCTATATTCCTTGTCAACGTTTTCTTTTGTCACTGCAACTTTATTTCTTTGCATTTCTATTTTGGCTTGCACCTCCTTTTGTTTTAGGTTGTCATTTGTTTCTTCTTTCTGAGCCTTTGAGTAAGCATCTTCATCAGTATTTTGGTCCCGAACCACGAGATTCTCATTACTGTAAGGGAGATTCCTAACATCTCTAGTGGAATGGTTGTACATCATTACCACACCTTTTCTTTCATGACCACTATCTACAGTACTTGTTTTTGTTGAATATCCTTTATTGCTCCCTTGGACTGAGAACCAAAAAAGAAAATGTAAATTGGATATATGCATATAAATGATGAATATAGAATTGGAACTACGATAAGTACAAAAGTAGTTGTAGCCTCCATCACAGCATAATTAATTAGTTTCTACTTTTTATGTGTTATTTCATTTATCCATCATAAGAAATCCATCTTAGGGTGGATACTTGGAAACGCGTGTTTGTTTATCCACCCCAGGGTGGATAAAGGAACGAATGTCTTTTCATAGTATTCAAATAATCGCAATCATATTATCATCATTATTCAAAAAGATTTAACAAACAGCCATCACATTTCCATAAATGACTGTAGGGGGAGAAAATCGGAAGAAAAATAATATACGAATACATATTATATGCAGATAGAATATGTGTTCGTTTATCCACCCCGTCTGGGGAGGATAAACGAACATCCGCATTCCGAGTATCCACCCTAGGATGGATTTATTAGGGTGGATAAACAGAATAACCCCTTTATATAGAATATATGGGACAGACGAGCACACAGTCCACCTGATGATAAGTGGTTGCTGTGGCCCATAGACATCTACATCTATTCTCAAATACAAATCAAAATGCAGGTAATTTGTGACTTCTGAGGACTAGGATGGAATGGCTTGTATTCAGTATATAGTCTTCAGTTCTCTTTATTCATCATATGGAACACAGCAGTGTTAAGCTGCTATTTTACACTGGTATTCTGTAAGAGCGTGGTCTTATCCTGGTCGAGTCGATCCATTCGTGATACAACTATAACATAGCTGCCATATGGCTCTACCATGTAAAACATCACCATGTAACTCATAGGGATGTTAAACACCTCAGCCTCTCTCATGACCATGGATGCTGTAAACGTCGGGAATTAAAAAGTTAAAATTAAACGCGATAAAATCCGTAAAATTAATATAGAAGAAATCATTATTATCATTTTTAACAATATCAAAAAATATTTAACTTTCCTATAGAAAACTACATTACTCCTTTACAATGCTTTCTAATCAGAAGCCCAGTGAAAAGGGAAATGTGAAATGAATATAACTCCATTGAAAAGCACAGACGCTTTATGAATAATTTAAGATTAAATCCCTTAACATCATTCATAGGTAGAAGACATGATAAATTATAAAAAACTATTTTTTGTTTACAGTTATTAGCAAAAAACTCATAAGAGTAAAAAAAAGAAATAATGATTTAAAATACTATGGTTTTCAACTGAATGAAAATGAATAACAGATGAAACAAAAACTATCAAATAATCAATTACACTTAGTCTGTCACCTGACTGTCTTAAAGAAAATGTCCTTAAATTGCAATTTTTTCCAGGGATTTCTTCGTAGACTTGTTTGTGTAGGTCATTTGATGTTGATTGTGCAGAACCAATCATCTTATTAAAGGTTGAATCAATAACAGATTTGAATTCCTTGCTGTTGACAGGGGGAAGAATACATTTAAAAACATTTTGCATGCAAAACTGGCAGTTTGGCTCAGCTTTCCAAACTGGAACTGAGACAACCTGTTCATCTACAACTTGGCATGCATTATCAAATTCACTACCTTCTGTCTTAGAAGCTCTAGCCTGAAGTATGGTATGTTTAATATTTTGCAAGTCCTCAGTTTGATTTTTATGACATTTTGTCTCGGATTCTCTTAAACGAAGATGCCTGTTTTGAATATATTCAGAAACTAATGTGAGCGATGATTTCTGGCACACATCTTCTTGAGATTTACTACTCGATATGCCACCACGCAAGCTTGATGGCATTTCATCACTAAGTGCAAACAAATTAGGCCTTTTGCTATTTTCAGATTTTTCAGCTATATCACTTTCTCTGATACATTCATTTTCTGGCAACAACAATATGGGTACTTCTGTTTGGCAGTCATTTGATGGTTCATCTAAATTGGATTGTGTAGCCATGTCAATTTTTTTTACAGGATCTGCTGATTGTTTTGAATTTTGAATGTCATCAATTTTCTTATTATCTGATACAACTTCAGAGTCCTTTGTTGTTGTTTGAAGATTTTTAGACACCACAGTTGATTTTTCTCTACTTAGTTCATTAGCTGCTTCCCTAAAAAAAATTGGTACACATTAATTATTGTTATTCATTTATTCATTACACTCTTAAAAAATCCACTGCTGCATGAGCTTCCCCATAGATTGGTTCATAAAATATTCCTCATATTATTTACTATAGTTGCATTATGTGGCAGGCAAGTTCAGTTACCCCTTGTCGCCTTTTAAGATACACACAAAAAAGAATCCAATGTAGTCCACATTGGATTCTTTTAGCCCGCCGCCACTACACGACAAACATAATATAATATTATTACTCCTAAAAACATGATCATCAGTCATACATAGTTTGGGTGCGTTTGGCAGAAAAAAGCGCTAGCAAGCGCTTGTAAGCAAAATGGCGATCGTAAGCGGTAAGCGCTGTCAAATCGTAAGTAGCGATTTTCCTCTAGGACACGAAGTTAGTTTTAACCGGGGAACCTAACCTAATTTAAATATATGTTTGTAAAGTATTCATATTAAAAACTTACCAATCATGATTTTTTATAACATGTATATATTTTTTCATGTCATTATATTACTTAAAATTGCACAAAACAACTTATAAACTCTATGTCAAAACAAACAAATTAAATAAGCAAAATGGCGGATTGTGTCAGCACTACTGAAGTAGCAATCGTGTCCTGGCCGAAAACTATTTCAGCGCTTTTTTCTGCCAAAATGCACCCTTTGATTTGACAGTTTTTTTCTGTCAATTTTTATTACTGTCATGTAGTTTTGGCGTTGCCAATATACAGTTTAATTATGAAATATACAAGTGGTAAAATTAAAATTTTTGTACAATCGGCTTCAATATAAATAAAATGAGAACATCATCAATGTATTTGAAGTCTATTTAATATGCATTATTAAGGATAACACAAAAACTACTGGTTAGATCTTGATCAAATTTATATCAGAACACATGAGAAGCACCAGCTTTCAAATAAATAAGAATTATCAAAATCGGTTAAGCTAGAAAAAAGTTTTGTGGTAACACACATAAAAAAACTGTCAAATTAAGAACCTCCTCAATCCTCAAGAACCCTCACAAAGACAAGGAAAGAATATAAAGTATGAATCTATATTTGTGGAATGTAATATAATGAAACAATAATTTCTTCACTTTCACTTACCAGTCCAATATAACACACAAAATATAGCAAACCGGAGCAGACCAAATATCACAAGCAGTACCTGTTTGCAAGCATGTCTTCAACAATATTCAAAGAGAGAGGAAGCAATGACTTCCAATCAAGAATGAGATACCCAAATCTAATACACAGATATCACTTCAAGAATATGAAGAAATAGGCACAGCCAAGTTTTAAGGAACACATTTATTTTTAATTTCCAATTGGGCCACTTACAATTTTCTCAATTTTTCATTGTATATGTTATAATTGAATTGAATTTTATTGTATGTATATATTTTTTGATGAAGAATCAAAATGTAGATGCATTGTATCTGGGGGGTAACAATACCCCTGAGGACTGAGGGTGTTGCTGACATGTCCAGAAGTCGCTTCATACAGGGCTAAACATCTCGGCACGCCGGGATCGCTCCCCGAAGTTGCTTGCAACATCAAGGGACTGCTGAGCTTCTTCGGAGAGATATCATGGCTCGAATAAGCATATTATTGCACTGCCCACACGCAAAATACGCGCTTAGACGTGGAGTTGCGGAAAACAGCCCGTCGTAAACTAAACTAAACTACCCCTGAGGACTATGATAGAATGCTGTTTCCAGTAAATAACATCAGTATAAAAGTTTCCTCACAATGTTTTCTTTTACCATCGAGTGATTACTCTCAAAAATGAGAGGGGGTCGTTGCCTAGTCTAGCCTAGGACGTTCACAGGCTGCAACTATACTTTTATGTTATATTTGAAGGTTTTGATAGCATCAGAGGTGGGTTTTGAATAAGCAATAACTCAGACAAGGGAAAAACAACAACTAGCATTTTTGTACAAATGATGTTGAATCTTATTACTAACATTTTCTGTGACTGCAAATCTAAGTCAATAAAAAAAAAAACCTCGTAAAATAAAAAATACTGTAGCACACCACAGTTGATGGCACTAACGCCATCTGGTATCAAGTATCAGAAATAGGAGTGTCAAGATCTTTCTAGAACTCTTCCAACAGCGCCATCTAGTATCGAATAGAAGAATTAAACTTTCTAGAAAGATCCACACTCGAACTTTCTGCAATTAGTCGGTTAGGACCGGTATTTGCTGGAACATTCTGGATGTTTCGATGAAAAAGGCCTATTTAAAGCCGTTGAAAGCCGCGAACGGGGCAGTATTGAATTGGTGATACGAGCGAAGCTTTCGGAGTGAAATAAAGTGAACTAAAGTGTTAAGTGTGAATAATTATTAGTGTGATTTAAGTTTTGTTGGTGTAATTAAAGTGTAAAATTTGGTAATTCAATCTTCAGTTTTTATTTACACAAACTCTAAACTCGTAATAATACCTATACATAAAAACAATTGAAAAGATAAAATCTATGTCTGCTCTTTTGATTGACCAAAAACAACACTAATTGAAATATCAATTATAACTCACCTAGCACGCAGTTTCCTGTCCAGCAATTGTTTATTCTTATTTAGTATTTCTTGCTTTTTTCTTCTTAGTGCAGCCACTGCTTCTCTACCCCTTACTTTTGATTTATCAATCTTCTTATCAAAATCTTAAAAAAAATGTTTAATGTCAAAAATCATAATCAATATTTTTATACAAACAGTTATCGAGTAGTAGTGAGAAGCTGTAAAGTACCTGTAACATGTAAAGTACAGAAGAATGTTGTTATTAAGAAAAAAAAACTTTTTTGTCAATTTTGCTATGTAAAGCTACATCAAATTTGACAAACTTAGCAAAATAATTTTTAAATGTTTTAATTAATTATAAATTCCGAACACCGACCCAAAAGATATTATTTGATGATACCAAAATAATGGATATTAAACAAATTTGTGAATATTAATAATATACATCACCTAACTTCATTAAAAAACAATAAGTAAAAAATTTAATTATGAAATGCAAACTTTGCTGACCCTAGTGTTCATTTGTAAATATTTTATGTGCATTTATTCATAATAATAATATTAAACAGCAAAATTATAGAAAACTTTGATGATGGTATTTTAAAAAAGTGTAGTCTTTTGTTATAGATGACTGTGAATCTACTCACAAAATTGAGAACTCTTAATATTATAATTATACATTTTTCCTTCCCATGACTGACTTGACACGGGCAGAATAATATCAAAAGAAGCCATAATTTAAAACAAGAAGAATGTAAACTATTTAGTAACACAATTACAAAATAAACAAATTTTTGTAGTAATCTTGGAGTGGCAATTCAGTGGCCATGAGACAAAATCAACTCTAAAAGACTGATGGTTTCACAGGAATGAGTGGGAGTATCCGTAGAGCCAACACACCCTCCTGTGCTAGGACCTGCGCAGTTGAGCGCCGTATGCTGAGATGAAGGAGTCCTGGAGGGTTGAGCCAATCATCACTGAGACCATCAGAGGCAACACATCCTCTTTTGTATGGATTTCAAGCTAAATGTTAGCCATATTTGCTAGCCACAGATAGGGAAATAGCCAAGCACACCGTCAAAGGATTGCAGACAAGGGACGTGGTGACTGCCTAGTCTCCCTGAAAAAGACTAGGTGGTGGTAAAGGTAGCCGATAATATCCTCGTGGGAATACAGTGGAAGATGATAAGAGAGGCTTGAAGTGGCCAGGAACTTGATGCGTCGGGCCCGGTTTTTGAGAGTCAAACCCATATACACGAAAGGTGTCCTGAAACTGTGGTGCTACGAACAGACGGCTTTGGATTGGTGGAATATTGCTACCTTCAACCTTAAATACAACACCTCACTGGTCATCAAAAAATAGTTGGCGATACCACAAAGGGTTAAATGTGGTATCCTACTCTGAGACGCCCAGTGGTCTTAGAACAACTACCATGATATTGGTCACATGCTGGCATACCAGAACCGCTGAGTAAATATAAGGGAATGTCTGCTTTTAAGGAATAGAAACAGACAAATTGGTGGTTCCTCATTGTTTTGGTACAGGAGGATCATATCCCAACCTTGATGAAAACTGGTCGCCAAATTCCAAGGTTGTGGAAGAAAATTTTAAGACACTCCACCGAGCAAAGAGGCAGACAAAGACACTGCCATAGACACTGAGGCAGCAGAATCACTGGATCCCAAGGCCAGTGATATAACGGCCTGCACAACAGAACCAAAGCCACCAGTGGAGATCAAGATTAGGCTGTGGCTGACAATGAGACCTGAGATCTGATGGCAGGATTATTTTTATGCGGGGACAGGGAGGGCGCAATCAATGATGGCACCTTTGTCTTCTTCAAAACCCTCGTCTTGTCTCACTAGTTTTACCCAAAATTTTGCTAGGCCACTCAGATTGATTGTAAAAGAAGTTAAAATAAGGGCATCCATACTGAGTATATAGTGTCCAATTTCATAAGCAAAGTTGAAAGGATTTTTGCAACCGAAAACAAGCGAACGGTTTTCATGAGTGTACCATAGAAATGTCCTGAAACAAAATTTTGGCTATATACCTTCTACATTGTATTCTGATGCATTCTCATGACCAGCACCAACATTCTGCAATCCTTTTGTATAAAGTTCTTGTAATCGGTTAACGAATTGCTTTTGACATTCAAGATATTTCTTTTCTTTCTTTGCATCGACGACTTTCTTCTGCTGCAATGTTTCAACTTTAGCACGCTGTCGAATTTTCTTCGCAATTTCTTTTGATTGTTCACGAACCTATATATAAAATCGTTTTACAAAATCGTGATTTATAAATTTATTCAATAATTATGTTGCAGTAAAACCGAAAAAAAGAAAAAAACAAAACCTGTTGCAGCCTCAACTTTCGTCGTTGTTCAAATTCATTTGTTTTGAAACAATTTACTTCAGAAGTCATGGTGACATTTGCTTGGATAAGATTCCACTCAGAAATAAGACACTAAAAATATTTTTATTTATCAAGTAATTCATTTATATATTTTATAAAACTTATAACAACTTTGTATGATTTCAAATTACAAAAACTTCACAACCGTTCAGGAAACGTTTAATGTCAGACTCAGACATTGACATTATTACGGTAGGCATCAGCGTTGCCAACACAAATTTGTCAAATTTACCGAAAATCTAAGTCAATTTCCCCAATTTGGGGACAAAAAATCAACAGAATCATCACAAATTACCTTAATTTTTAACGTCCCGCTAAGAAAATTGGGAAGTTATTGGTTTCACACCGATTTTCGAAAATCCAGTTTTCATCAGATCTCGATGTTTTGAGATCCCAGGAAGCTATTCTGACTAATTTCACGTGGACGTCCCTACGGATGTACGTATGTGTGTGCTTGTGTGCGTGTGCATGCGTGCGTGTGCGTGTGTGTGATGCCGTTTGCGGCGTCGACAAAAACTAATCAGCTCTTAACCTCAAAAAATGACATCGAATGCCGTTTGGAAAATAAAAATCGGTTCATTCGTTCGTGAGATATCGAAGAAGAAAGAATTTGATAATTCTTTTTTAACGTAACTTCGAGATTTCGCAACATAATTTGATGAAATTTGGAGTGCTTTGCATTTGAAATTAGTGGGAAGTTCCAAGGATCGCCTGCGCGGTCAACCAATTTTTTTTAAAGAAATGACGTTCCAACAAATTTTTTAACTTAATATTTTTTTCGTTTTTCCCAAAAAAATTTTTCACACTTTTTCCATATTTTGCAACAAGAATTTTACTCCATGTAGTTTTTAATCACTTCCCTTGTTGCTATTAAAAGTACGACAGTATTTGCATTTATATGAATGTGGTTCTCTGCTTTAGAATCAAAAAATAAATAAATTAAAATGCATCAAGTGATACCACAAAGTTGCCGATATAAATTCGAAAATTACGTATTGTTTAATGAAGAAAATTAAAAAAAGGGAGTCCTTCGATATCCATAAGGAACGTAACAAAAATTTTAAGATAAGTATTTAGATTTCTTGAAAAAGGGTTCTGACTTGGTCCGGCTATCGATTTTCAAAATCCTTGCATTTTCCCCGCATAATACCAATCGCCAAAAAATTCCCAATCAACTTCAGATTCCTGGCAGTTTAGGGAAATCCCCACATGTTGGCAGCGCCTGTGGACATGGCAATCTGAGGTCAATTTGTCAATAAATCGATTTCTTGTGCCAAAATATCGATTTTTTGATTCGTTAAAGTACTGTACCGATATTTCACACTAGAAAATCGAGATTCAATCTTTCTGTTTTTATTATGTACCATAAAATTATTTATAGTTAGTTGAATGTACCCAAACTCGTAAAAAACGACAGTTGCTCTATTCGAAAACTCGCAAAATTGCTGTGTGCTCAGTTTCTTTCACATGTTTTTTAATGGATTAAAGAAATAAAGAAAAGGTTACGTTTATAATCTGTGCTTTGTTGTGTCTTTTGATATTGTAAATACAATTTCTGAAAGCAAATCGAAAAATGCTTTTTTTTAATCGCTTTATCAGATTTCGTGTCAATTCATTCAAAAATCGATATTTTTCGGAAAGAATCGCCATCCCTTTATTAGGGAGACATATATATAGAGGTCAAGGGATTGGGTAGATCAGATTCCGCCTGTGGCATCGCTTCCGAGCGGTTGCATCCAGGTAGTCCGCGCTTTCATTCCTGTACGATAGTGCTCCCCGCTCTCGCGCCACCGCTGTCCCGCTCGCGCTGTACAGGGCCGACGCAGTGCTCAGTCCGCCGGCGGCATCGTTCTCGGACGGTCGCCTCCAGGTGGTCCGCGCTCCCGTACAGTATGGTAGCGCTGTCGCTCTCTCACGCGCCTCCGCTGTCCTGCTCACGCGGAACAGCGTCGAGGCTGCCGGTGAGTCACTTTTACGCTACAGTTCTTGCCCCCCTGTCTTCGGGCAGGGAGGTCTAACTGACTTCCGCTTTCATTTTCATTTTTCATTTTCACTTTTCATTTCATTCTCATTTTTCATTTTCATTTTTCATTATCATTTTTCATTATCATTTTTCATTTTTCATTTTTCAATTTTTTTTTTGTACTGTCTCCTTTTTTCCTTTTTTTCTTGCGTTCTTGTTATTCTTGTATTACGTGTATAGTGTGTCGTAGTACGTCTCGCGATCTAGTCCCTGTTCTACCGAGAACAGGGACCCGTCCTCATCTTTATTTTACATAGCTCAGCTTGCTTACTGACCCAAAATGGCCACACCCAGCTTCACTGAGTCCCTCGCCGCCCTCATTAACCAATTCGGTTTAAACGGCAATGAGACGGTCCTCGCCGCCATCGCCACCATCGCCGCCCAGGCTTCCCTCCCTGCCCCTCAGGCACACCATCCGCCGCCGGTAATCGCATCTTACCTCGAAACGAGGAACTCTTTTGCCCCGCTCGAATCTGCCCCCCTAGAAATGGAGTACGCATGCTCCAAGTCCTCGGTGCCGTCCTCCCGGAAGAGGCGCGCCACTACTACAGGCTCCGGTTCATCGGATTCCTCTGACTCCGACGGAACCGGGGAGTCCACATTCACTGCCGTCAACTCCAAGCGCAACGGAAAGCGCGCCGCGATAAAACGCACCCCGCCTATCTCAGCGGCCCCTGCCGCTCCTCCAACTTCCGCAGCCCCCGCCGCTGCCGCCATCCCGCTCATGTCCCTTGACATCCCAACTCCATCTAAACCTTCCTCTCGATGTGCTCCAGTCCTTGCTAAGAAGCAAGTCCCGCCCCCTGTCTTCCTAAGAGACAAGGCCAAATTCACCAAACTGTCGAAAATCTGCTACGACGCAGGAATTAAGTACGACAATGCTGTCAACCTCGGGGAGGCTATCAAAATCATCCCCAGCTCGATCGAGGATTTCCGAAAACTCACCAGGCTTTTCACAGCCGAACGAGTCTCCTACCACACCTACGCTCTCCTGGAAGAGCGTAAAGTCAGGGCCGTCATCCGAGGCGTCCCCTTCGAGTTCTCGAACGAGGAAATACTTCTCTCGACCCTCTCAGGGTCCCCCTAGGCCCCCTCAGGGCATAATTCGGCCCCCCTCCGGGCTTCTCCAAGCCAATGCAGCCTCCAGTCTTTCCCTGGGGGCCCAAAAAGGCAGACCCACCGCGGACAACCTCGTACGCTCATGAAGCAGAGCCCACAATCGACGACTACAACACGCTATATTCCGCTATTAGGAATATCGATGTTAGGGAAATAACACTAGTATCACGCAAACTGCGCGCGGCCAAGTCTCCCCAAGAACGTATCCTCGTTCTTGCGGAGCACAATAACCTTCTGTTAGCGTTGTAAGTTAGGTTAACTTAATTAACTTAACTTCAATGACTGAGCGAATTAACCTACCTAGATCTCACGGTCGTATCAAACCTAAGGGTTTATCGCTTGTATCATTTAATATTCGCGGCTTGCGAAATAACCTCCCAGAGCTCAAGCTCTTTCTTCGGAATCGTGAAGTCGATTTCCTCCTCCTACAGGAAACTAATCTCAAAGCTAAGGACACTAGAGGCCTTTCTATTAAAAACTTCTCTCTTCTTCGTAACGACAGACCCGACCGCCGAGGCGGCGGAACGGCCATCTATTACAAGAAGACACTTCATTGCTCGCCCATTTCTACTCCGCAGCTTACCAACATGGAAGCCACGGTATGCAGGCTAGCTATGACTGGACATCAGTCCATCCTCATAGCCTCCTGTTACATCCCTTCAGGAACCTATCCCCTCAAAAAGGATTTTGAGGCCATTTTATCTTTACGCAATTCAGTCATTATGTTTGGAGATTTTAACTCCAAGCATACTGAATGGACATGCCGCACTACGTCCCCTAGTGGCAAGATACTGCTCGATATCACGCAGTCTCTTGATATTACCGTCCATAGTCCTCTCGGTGTTACTCACTTTTCCGATAACACCGATCACGCCCCCGATGTGTTAGATTTTGCGTTACTCCAAGGAGTTTCTCTCAACCTCAGAGCAATCGAGACACTAGACGATCTAGGATCAGATCACCGACCGGTCTCCCTCATTCTTGGCCATCAGCCACCTCCCCCAACACATACGAAAACCTTCACTAACTGGAAGGGATTCAAGGAGTCCCTAGCTAAAGCTTTGGACTCACAGGACTCTACCATCTCCCTACCGTCGGACTAAGATAATCCCGAAAAAATCGACACCGCGGTCGATTCACTCTCCACCCTTTTTAAATCCTCCCTTAAAGAGAACGAAAGGGTCGTCCCGGTTGCTAACAATAGTGGGCTTCCCCTACATATTAGCAACCTATTAAAAGCCAAAAAAGCTGCTTTCCGGAGAGCAGCAAAATATCCCACCCCCGAATATAGGCGCGCGGCCAATCGTCTTCAACGAGAACTCCGCTTCCGCCTCTCTGAATTTCGAGACCTCGAAAAGAGTAAGCTCATGGAGAATATCTCTCCTTCTCACACAGCGTACTATCAGATGGCTAGAGCCCTCCACATAGACGCTATCACCCACACTCCCCCTCTCTCCCGTCCCGACGGCACGGTTGCCTTCGAGGACGAGGAAAAGGCTGAGTGCTTTGCAGATAGCATTGCCGCTCAATGCTCTCCTAGTTCTCAACCCGTCGACCCCCCTCACGTCCAGGCAGTGGAGGATGAGGTCCGCCGCCGGAACTCACCCCCTACGGTCTCCGAACCTATCTCTGTGTCCAATGATGAGATTTCATCCCTCATCAAAGGACTTAAGCCCAAAAAGGCTCCGGGCGCGGATGGCATCTCCAACCAAGCCCTAAAACACTTTCCTGAGCAGGTGTTAACCTTTTTATCTATTATCTTCAACGCCTGCTTCAACCTCAGTTATTTCCCTACTACGTGGAAAGAGGCTACTGTGATTGGAATTCCCAAGCCAGGCAAGCCTCTCAACCTCCCCCTCCAGCCATC